AAACTCACTAAAAGCTGTTGAATAAAAGGAGTGGGGTGATGAAAAAGTAAGAGCAATTAAACGGATCAATCTGATTAAAACATATATGTTATAGGGCTGGGAAGGTGGCTCAGTGGTAGAGTGCTTGCCTTGCATGCATGAGGCCCTGGGTTTGATTCCCCAGTACCACATAAGCAGAAAAAGCCAGAAGTGGTGCTGTGACTCCACTGGTAGAGTGGTAGTCTTGAGCTGAAGAGCTGAGGGGCGGCCCCCAGGCCCAGAGTTCAGGCCTCAGGACTGACAAAAAAAAAAAAAACATATATGTATATATCCAAGTAAAACTGCTTTGAGCAATTAACATTCACTTTGAAAAAAAGACAGACAGCATGAGGGTAAAAATGGTTCTGTCCAGATGTGTGTACTAGTGAGTAGACACAGAAAGTTGAAACAGGAAAAATATGGTGATAATAGCTTATTTACAAGTGTGAAAACACAATGGAGAGGAAGAAGATTGAAAAAAAGGGATGAACCTGATCAAGTTGTATGCATATAAGGATATGTCAACATTCCTGACTTATAAATCAGTAACTAATGTGCACACCTTAACAATAATAAAATTATGTATTTTTTATTTTTAAAAAAAGTCAGAGATACTCAGCAGGATGACATCTGAGGACTGGGGATCGAAGCCAGTCTAAGTAGGAAAGTCTGTGAGACTTTTATTTTCAATTAACCAACAAAAAGGTATAAGTTCCTCAAGTGGTAGAGCAGAAGCTTTGAACAAAAAAAACCAAAGGATAGCAACTAGACCCTGAGTTCAAGCCTCAATATGAGCATAAACAAATATTTTTTTTTTTAATGAGCAAGCTGGGCCTATTAACTCACCTGGAGGCTGAAATCCAGCCAGCCCAGGCAGAGAAGCTCATGAAACTGCATCTCCAAAAGTACAGGAAAAGAAAAAAAGAAAAATTACAGAAAGCTATTCAAGAGATTAAGATCTGAGGACCACAGTGTGAAGTCAGATTCATGTCCATTTAACCACTAAAAATATCAAATGGTTCAGCATTAGCCTTCAGTACAAAAGAAGGACAGTTCAAGCCCTGAGTTCAAGACCACAACAAAAATTTTAAAAAATAAAAAAAATAAAGATGCTCTGATATATGTAGACTTCAGATTGCTACATCGTTTCTGGAAGAACTGAACTGATTGGCAGTCTAAATGTCAATCTCAGAATTAATGCATCTTACAACTATTTGAATCTTATTCACAAGATCTTTTTCTCACTGTACCAAGTGTAGCTGCTACCTACCCCAAACCTGTTAGCCCCTTTATGAGCTTCCTTCCATTACTTACTCGGTATTAGATTACAAGAACATTCCAATTTAGAAATTTGTAAGGAATGAAAAAGGGAATGGAGACATCACTGGAACTCTACTTTATTCTTAAGACATAATTGGTCATTTAATGAAACGTGATCCTCTACAGAAAAAAAAAAAATAGGCTCTTTGGGACATAGAACAATTCAAACTTTTTTGTTGTAAAAAGTTCTCCACTCAGAAATCCCGTGTGTGGGTAAACACAGCCAATGCTTTGTTTAGAGATATTCAAGGCTGATTCTGAACATCTGTGTTCACATTTTTTGGTCTGGAAATGTTTTCAATCTAACTAGAGGATTAATGCTCAACATATCATTCTTCACTAGTCTAAGCAACAAGTTATAACAAAAAGTAATCTTAAATCAACTGATGACAGATATAGGACTCTCATTCATTGTACCCAATGTAGATAGTAATCATTACCTTAGAAAGAATGTACAATTCCTAAAGCAGAGTGGTTGTTTTCCATAGCTTCAGAAGTAATTTCCTTATGGTGAATTGCAGACTCATTACCATTCCATTGAATGATCCATCAAATCACAACTAAAAATAACAGAGAGCCATGTGGGCCTCCAGCACTTGGGAGGGTAAGGCAAGAAGATTGTGATTTTTTTTTCTTTTTTTTTGGTCAGTTGTGGGGGCTGAACTCTGGGCCTAGGCTCTGTTCCTCAGAGCTCAAGGATACCACTTGAGCCACAGAGCCACTTCCTGCTTTTTTCTGCTTATGTGGTGCTGAGGAATTGAACCCAGGGCCTCATGCATGCAAGGCAAGCACTCTACCACTGAGCCAACTTCCCAGCCTGAAGATTGTAATTTTGAGGCTATAGTAGAGAACCTAACAAGACTCTGTCTTGATAAGCCAACCAAGAAACCAAGAACAAAAGTGGACAGGGAGCATTAAAAAGACTTGCCCACTGACAGCAGAGGCATCCAAGGGCTTCCATGGTTATCAGCAATGTTCTAGTTTTTAAGGCAGGTGGATATTCCATAGATATTCTAATAACTCTTTAAGCCATACATTTTGCATACTTATTTGTGCATTCTGCTTCTCTAGTTATATCCACTGATCTTTTTTTTTTTCTCTAGTTATATCCACTGATATTTTTTTTTTTTAATCTCTGACCTTATGTAGAATATTTCAAAAAGAATCTGTCCAAAATCATCCCAGGACTTCAGTAACAGCTATTATACCTAAAGCTCACCACCCTCATTCCCTAAATTGCTTTCAGCAATTTTTCAAGATAAATTTATAACCCATATAAGTTCCTGTTTGCTATTTTATGTCAATAGACTTCAAAATCTACACCTAAGGGCTAGAAGCATGGCTCAAGAGGAAGAGCACCTGCCTCCCAATTTCTAAGTTCAAACCCCAGCACTATCAAAATAAAATAAAATAAATTAAGGCTATACCCAAAACTGAATCAAAGTCTCCATATATGGCCTCATGGACAGTATTGTGTTAAAAATCCTCTCTAACTGCCCTAGTTACCTTGATGTAGCCCAGGAAAAGTGCTTTGTCAAATTGTTTCACATTGAACTTATATATGAAAATACCTAGTTTCATTTATGTTGTTAAAGATACACTTCAAGAAATTAAGTCTTTCAGGGGGCTGAGAATGTGGCTCGGTGGTAGAGTGCTTGCCTAGCATGCATGAGGCCCTAGGTTAGATTACTCCCCACGATATAAACAGAAAAAGCTGGAAGTGGTGCTGTGGCTCAAGTGGTAGAATGCTAGCCTTGAGCTAAAGAGCTGAGGGACAGCGCCCAGGCCCAGAGTTCAAGCCCCATGACCCCAAGACCTACCAAAAAAAAAAAAAAAAAGAAATTAGTAGGACCAAAAGGAAAAGATTTCAAAGTATCATCTTGTTAGATTCAGCCCTTATAACTTCTTTAGATAATCTGATAGTTACTGTCACCTATTCTCTGAGGAGTCCTCTGGATTTTACACTGTATAATTTGTCTTTTTTGTGCCAGTCCTGGTGTTTGAACACACCACTTGAACCACACTGTCAGAGGCATCGACCCACGTAACCCCATCGGAGCTCCTGTGTGCCATGAGGGTGCATGCAGGAATGCATTCCTCTGGGAGAGGAAGGGACACTCCTTCCTCCATGTGGAGCAAAGGTTCTGCTCCCAGCGCCAGACTCAGGTAATGGTTGGCAATGGTTGGCGGGAAGTGCCATTTGTGCTTCATTTAGTTAACCCTGTAGAACAATGCCTCCAGACCCCCTTTGTGTACTCACCTGTGCTTTACCTACTTTTACAGCCTTGATTACTGGAACTGCATATTTGATGACAAAAGGATTAGCTTTTCCAGTTTACTGACTTAAACTCTCATTGTCTGTATTCCCATAAAACTGTTTAACTCCCTGCCCCTGACTGAAGATTTACTTCTCCTGCTTGTGTGCTGTATATAAGCATGTGATATTTCAATAAACTTTGTCTATACCAGCATAGTATGGTCCCTTTCTGCCTACCAGACATTGTGTTCCCAGATTCCTCTGTGTGAACAGCAACACCACACCTCCACTTCTGGATGGGTTTTTTGTGTTTGAACTCAGAGCCTGGACACTATCCCTCAGCTTCTTTACTCAAGGCTGGGATCTACCACTTGTACCAAAGCTCCACTTTAGGCATTTTGCTGGTTAACTGGAGATAGACAGTCTCACAGACTTTTCTGTCTGGGCTGGCTTAGAACCATGATCCTTAGATCTCAGCCTCCTGAGTAGCTAGTATTACAGTCATGTGCCACCAGTGCCCAGCCATTCTTTATAGATTTCCATCAATGGTACCAAAGTCACTGAACAAGAGCTACTAAGGACCCAGGACAAAGACCTGAGATACATCACTAGAAGTCTTCTAAACACATTAATATCTTACAGTATTCCACTGGTTATTATCTTGTATTTTGCTATTTTCCATAGCATTTTAAGAGAAACTACTATAAAATGCACCATTAGAACATAAAGAAACTGAATAGCTAGGTCTGGGGATACTACTGTAATACTCCTTAAACTTGAACCATTCTGAGGTCTATTTATGGGATGACAGAAGTAGACAGTACAGCATAGATAAGCCCAGTGCTTGTGGCTCACACCTGCAATCCTACTCAAGAGACAGTGATCTGAAGATACTGGTTTGAAGGCAGCATAGGCAGAAAAATCTGTGAGACTCTTATCTCCAACTAACCAACAAATATCCTAAAGTACAGGTATGGTATCAAGTGTCAAGAGTGCCAGCCTTGAGCAAAAATGGAAGAGCACCCAGGCACTGATTTCAAGCCCCGCTATTCACACACACACACACACACACACACACACACAGTCTCCAGACACCGATTTCAAGCCCCGCTACTCACACACACACACACACACACACACACACACACACACTGATTTCAAGCCCCGCTATTCAACACACACACAGAGTCTCCAGAGGGAATTTCTGGAGCCAGGGACTGTATGTATGCCAGATTTTAACTGAGAAATAAATAAACTTTTTTTAAAGAATACAAAAGTATTCTTAACCAAAAAGGGGGGGGGGGGGGGCGGGGAAGGGAGAGAGAAACTACTCCAATTCACTGAAGAGATCCTGAAACCAAGAATCCAAGTCTATAGAGAGTAAAGCAGACCGAACTATAGAGCCTTTTTTTGTCCAAACAACTTTAATTCTGTTCTAACTCCAAAGAGGTTAGAATCTTAAAAATGAAAAATTGGTCATAAAACCATTTAAATATCAAGCCTCCACCCTTAACAATAAATACTTAACTGATATATACACGTACATTAAGACTTGGGAAGAAGACAAAAACAGAAATTGGGGATTCTGTCCCATGGCAAGATCTCAAACTTCTACCGAATCTGTGCTCCCTTCTTAAAACAGAGAGCAGAGACAGCACAGACCTATCAGAGAAAGTGCAGCTCTGGCAGAGCTAGAACATGATGAGAGAAAGAAAAGACACAGGTATCTCACAGGGCAGAGGAGAGAGAGCCCCACACAACACACAACCCTCCTCTCCCCTAGCCCAGATGCGTCATTGGTGGATGTTGCTGGTCCAGCAGCTGAGTGCTTCAAGGTTGACTCCTGCCTCCATTCTCTTCTCCACATGCATGTCAGGAAGATCATTCACACTTTGGTCTTGAGGCCACTGTAGCAGCAGCCTGGCTATTGGAGCCCTGAGGCTTTCCATTCACCACCAACAGGAGGGGCGTCTCCACACGAATGCTGGAAAAGGAGTAGTCCTATGAAAGACACATATACCAAGGTTTATCAGAAGGTCCTAGGTACAGAATTATACCAACTGCAACTTTCTCCCCTGCTCTCCCCTTACCTCCATCTGACATTAGAGGAAACTGAACTGACAAAGACTGAGTTTTCAGTTCTCACAAAGAAAACCCAGGGCTGTTAGGGTACTAACAGTGCAACTACAAAAATGAGAGAAAAGCCAAGTGCCGGTGGTTCATAACTGTAATTCTAGCTACTGAGCAGGCTGACATATGAGGATTGCACTACTAAGCCAGCCCATGAAGGGATGTTTTTAAGACTCATATCTACGATTAACTCCAAAAAATCCAGAAATAGAGCTATGGTTCAAGTGATAGAGTGCTAGCTAGCACTGAACAGAAAAGCTCAGGAACAGTGCCCAGGCCCTGAATTCAAGCCAGAGGACGGGGAGAAAAATTAAAAAGGGACAGGTCTGTGACTCAAGAAAAGCAAGCACCCCTCATAGATCTACCCTTCCCCACAATACCTACTGATATATAATTAAAAATAGATGCCACACAACCAGAACTAGAGGATACTGTGGACAAATGTAGACCCGGTGATTTAAAGGCCTAAATTCATTTGCTAAACATAAATTTAAAGTTAACTCTCCTTTTTACAGCAAGAGAAGGAAACAGACTCTGTAATGGCATGTCGATGTTTTCTTCATAATAAGGAAGACACCCACTCACTTTACTAGTCCAAACACCTAAGTTGTAAAACAGGTTACTAAAAGATCTTCACCCAAAACATACTGTTCCAATGACAATGACAGGAAAACAAATGATTGCCAAAAATTAATTTTAGCTGAGTGCCAGTGGCTCATGCCTATAATCCTAGCTTCTCAGAAGGCTGGGACCTGAAGATCTTGGTTCAAAACCAGCCCAGGCAACAAAGCTCATGTAATTCTTATCTCCAATTAACCAGTAAAATGCCAAAATGGAGCTCTGACTCAAGTGGTGAAGTGCCATCCTTGAGGGACAGCACTCAGGCCTTAAGGGACCATGCCCAAGTCCTTAGTTCAAGCCCCAGTATTGGCACCAATAATAATAATAATAATAGATCTGGGCACAGGTGGCTTGATTACAGTTCAAAGCAGCCCCATGATAAGAGTCCATGAGACTCATCTCCAATTAACTACTTAAAAGCCCAAAGTAGGGGCTGGGAAGGTGGCTCAGTGGTAGAGCGCTTGCCTTGCATGCCTGAGGCCCTGGGTTCGATTCCTCAGCACCACATAAGCAAAAAGAAAAAGGCCGGAAGTGGTGCTGTAACTCAAGTGGTAGAGTGCTAGCCCTGAGCTGAAGAGCTGAGGGACAGCGCCCAGACCCAGAGTTCAGGCCCCACGACCGGACCCCCCCCAAAAAAAAAGCCCAAAGTAGAGCTGTAACTCAAATGCAGACAGTCAGCCTTCAGCACAAATGCTCAGGGACAACACCCAGGCCCTGGGTTCAAGTCCCAATACTGGAAAATAATAATAATAAAAAACTTATCGAGTCCTAAGTGATAGAATATTGACAAGTGAGAAAAATGGCAATCTATAAATGAAAGATAATAAACATATAATATTAAGCCTCCAAAAATGCTAAAGAAGCCGGCACCAATGGCTCACACCTGTAGTCCTAGCTACCCAGGAGGCTGAGATCTCAGGATCATGATTCAAAGCAAGCCTGTGCAGAAAAGCTGTGAGACTCTTACCTCCAATAAACCACCAGAAAACCACAAGTGGTACTGTGGCTCAAGTGGCAGAGCGCTAGCCTTAAACTGAAGAGCTGAGGGACAGTGCCCAGGCCCAGAGTTCAAGCCTCACGACTGACCATTGCAACAATGAGATGTACAAGTTGTTATGTCAAAAAACGAACTTTACAACTTTGGTTGGGGGGGAGGGTTCGGGGGTACGGGAAGGGATGGGAAAGGGAAACAAAGGAGGAGGCAACAATGCTTGATAAGAAATGTTCTCATTATCTTGCCCATGTAATTGTAACCTCTCTATGGTATTTTCACAATTAAAAAAAAAAAGAAAAAATGCTGAATAAATTACTGATGCTATATTTTTCATGCAAAATCAGTAATGTTTTTTGTTTTGTTCTGGGGTGTTTTTGCCAATCCTGGACTTGAACTTAAGGCCTAGATGCTGTCCCTGAGCCTCTTTGTGCTCAAGACTAGTGCTCTACCACTTGAGCCACAGTGCTACTTCCAGCTTTTTCTGAGTAGTTTACTGGAGATAAGAATCTCACAGCTGGATGCTAATAGCTCATACCTGTGATCCTAGCTACTCAGGAGGCTAAGATCTGAGGATCACAGTTCAAAGCCATCCAGCAGGAAAGTCTGTGAGACTCTCATTTCCAATAAACTACTTAGAAAAGGCTGGAGGTTATGCTGTGGCTCAAGTGATAGAACACTACTAGCCTTGAACAGAAGAGGCTCGGGGATAGTACTTAGGTCCTGAGTCCAGGCCCCAGGATTGGCAAAAAAAAAAAGTCTCACAGATAATTTAAAAGAATGCAAAACATGTAAAAACATGGGAAATGTTCACAAATACTTAAATATTTTAATGATTTAATATACATGTATGTACACATATTTTTGAAAAAGCAAGACTCGTAGGGTACATTACATACCAAAGAATTCACAGTAGTAAAAGCTAAGTGATATTATTCCAGTCTAATTTTTTTTGCCTACTAGTCATTTCCTTTTATAGTAAATTGTATCAACATCCATCTATATATATTCACACTAAAGTATACAAGCATCATACACGAACACTTACATGTATCAATTACTCTTCTGCCTTTTTTTAAAGGCAGATAAGCTTAAGCCAGGCACTGGTGGCTCACTCCTACAATCCTCATCAGGAAGCTGAGATCTGAGAACTGCAGTTCAAAGCCAGTCCAGGCAGTAAAGTCCATGAGATTTTTGTCTCCAATGAACCACCAAAAAGCTGGAAGGAGGAGGGGGAGGGGGGCTGTGTCTCAAGTGACAGAGCATTGGACTTGAGCAAAAATAGCTAAGGGATAGCAAGCACCCAGACCCTAAATTCAAATCCCAGTACCACAAAAAAAAAAAAAATCTTAGTTCCACTAGCCATTACTCACTCACCTTTCCCTTATGCTGAATTCGATGAAGCCGAAGGCTGGGCTCAGGAATGGCAACAGAGTCCCCAATGAGCACTCCCCAGCTCTGTACCATATTATACACCATCACTGCATAGCATGGTCCATCAGAATCTACTACGCCAAATGTGCTGCGTTAAAGTAAGGTAGACAGAGAGAGAGGAAAGATATGTGGATAGGAACAAACACAAACAGAGGCCTAAAAACATGGCAAAATAAACATGCTTTTTCAGTCACTTAGACAATCCACAACAGGTACCATCATTTATTTTATATATATACATATACATATATATATATATATATATATATATATATATATATATATATATATATGAGTCCTCATTTGTCTTAGGTATATCTTTAGAAACTTGGCTCAATAATCTGTCACTCAGCTAAAAACTTAGGACACAAGCACTCTGTGGCTGTCTCACAAAAAAAAAAATTTCATTTGAATTATACTGTAGGTGGAAACAGTATTACTGGCTTAACCAAACCCTCAAATCATCACTGTAAATTTAGCTTCCATAAACTTTCACTGAATTTTACAATAGGATGCCAATCCAACTATGAATGACCTACAATCTAGCAGAAGACAACAGAACCATCCCTTGGGCTGAAATACAGATCAGGCAGAGTGCTAGCTTTACATATGCCAAGTCAAGAGTTTGATCCCCAGCACTGCAAGAAGAAAATTAGTTAATATCACTAACAGTCCTGTGGGATGGTTACTCAAACAGCTTTTTCTTCTTTGTGCTGAATTCAGTGAAATCCTCTAAGTGGATATTTTTTTTAATTTTGTACTAGAGTCTCAAATCAGGGTCTCATGCTTGCTAGGCAGACATTCTACCACCAGAGCCACACCTCTAGTCCTCAAAGTGAATCTTAAAGGATGAAAAATTAACTATGTTACCTGGGTATGGTGCCACCAGCCTATAATCCCAACATACTAGAGACTGAAATAGAATATCTAGAGTTTGAGGTCACTCTACTGCACACAATGATTTCATGGTCAGCTTGTTCTACTTAGTAAAACACTGTCAAACAAGGGGCCATGTGTCCATGGTTCATGCCTATAATCCTAGCTACTCAGGAGGCTGAGATCTTAGGACTGTGGTTTGAAGTCAACCCAGCCAGGAAGGTCCCTGAGACTTTTATCACTAATTAACCACTAGAAAAGGCCAGAAATGGAGCTGTGGCTAATTGGTAAAGTGCTAGCCTTGAGCAAAAGCTCAGGGATTGTACCAGGCCCTACACCAGAAAAAAAAAAAAATAGTGTAAAACTACTAAGATCAGTAGTTTAGTAGAATACTGAACTATTTAGAGGAAAGCACATGGATTTCTGAACTTACTCTGAAATGCAAGAGTAAGACAGATTGGGATGGAGGTTGTGGCTCAAGTGGTAGCATGGCATAAGATCAAATCCTAATACAACTGGGACAAACTAATTATAATGTTAATAACAGAATATAGGTAACTGAGTACCTATAAACAAAAGTAAGACACATCAATAAGTAGATGGGACAAACTAATTATAATGTTAATAACAGAATATAGGTAACTGAGTACCTATAAACAAATGAAAAAAAAGAATTTAGATTACATAGGTATATGCCAAAATTCTAAGAATATTCAAATTCTTGGAATAAAATGTTGAATAATGATTAATTATTCAAGAAGCTGTAGGATTAGGCAAACCACAGATATCAAAACAGTTCCATGGTGGGAACAAAAGGCACATTCAGGAAGGTGACAGAAGATAATGGAGAAAAGCAGGGCACAAGCCCATGACAGACGTTGCATGCTAAGCTAAACCACAGAGTATCAGTAAAAATAGGAATAGGAAGTGACAATGGTCAGAAGAGCATCTGATTTCTCTTAGAATATTAAGGAAAAACCAAAGTCAGGAAGATATTTTTGGAGAAGTAAGAGACTAAGCAAGATAATAGGGACAGAAAAATGGGGACGAAAAGCAAACTACCTACCTAATCTGGTGACTGCTCCAGTGCAGGAAAATGGAAAAGACTAGAACAATTTCCAGAAGTCTTAGCTTTGTAACTCAATAGAGAGATGGTAATATTCACTGACAGAGAATCCAGAAAGGAGTAGCAGGTTTTGATATATAGAAATTAGATTAATCATTTTGAACATAGAAATCTTTGAGAATCCAGAGGTAGTTATATATGTAGAGCAATCTACAATCTAGAATATGAGACACAGTGAGCATAGATGAGGCAGCAAAAGTCCTGGATTTACAGGACATCACCAAACAAGATGAGCTACAAATGCAATTGTGAGGAATTAAAGCCATGCCATTCCCTGGCACACCTGAATTCCTAGAAAATACTACGATTAAGCATAATATTCTCCTAGAGAATCTAGTCCAAGCACCAAAGCTTTCTACACACTGTAGAAAATTAACAGGAGGGCTGGGAAGGTGGCTCAGTGGTAGAGCGCTTGCCTTGCATGCCAGAGGCCCTGGGTTCGATTCCTCAGCACCACATAAGCAAAAAGAAAAAAGCCAGAAGTGGCGCTGTCGCTCAAGTGGTAGAGCACTAGCCTTGAGCTGAAGAGCTGAGGGACAGCGCCCAGGCCCAGAGTTCAGGCCCCATGACCGGACCCAAAAAAAAAAAAAGAAAGAAAGAAAAGAAAAGAAAATTAACGGGAGAACAAAAAAAGAGTTCTCGGGACCTAATATTCTGAAGTTGGGCAGAAAAAGAAAAAAACAAGAGTGGTAAAATATTTATTTGTTCTCAAGATTTTCTAAAACCTATACTTGTTTATATTCCTCTTTGGCTCTTAGAGTCTGCTTTAGTTAACTAACCTTTTAGTTAAACCTATACTTGTCTATATTCCTCTTTGGCACTTACAGTCTGATTTAGTAACTAACCTTTTAGTTAAGCCTATACTTGTCTACATTCCTCTTTGGCTCTTAAAGTCTGCTTTAGTTAACTAACCTTTTAGTTAAATAACCTTTTCTCAATTTTCTTCTTGCTTTTCAAATCACCAAATACAAGGACCTCTAGACAACTGTGAGAGAATTCTCAGGAATAGAATGAGAACTATGTGTAAATTGAAGGAAGCAGAAAGGATGTGAAAGGCAAGAGTCAGAATGTCACAGAGCCATTGTGTAACAGAAGCCACTGGATTAGATGTCTCAAAAAAAGAACCTAGAAAATAGACCACTTCAGAAGAAAACAGAAAGATAAAATCAATCAACCTAGAACTCAGAAATTAAGTAAGTGAAGGATCAAGGACTGATTAGAGTTAACTAAATCCTAATTTTTCACTTAAAACGCTTCTAAGTATATTTTCTTAATTTATTCCTCTGATAGAGTGTAAGCACTCTTCACTTGGGTTCTTGAATTTCTTTTTCTTTTTTCCTCACTCTATATTGAACAGCTTCTGAGATAATTCTTCAATCTGGCAATCAGGCTTTAAATTCTACCTCAAAACTTACTTTCCAGAACTACTTAAAGCATACCGAAGTACAATCGGGGCTAAATAAGTACACTTTCAACTCTTGGTTATCAAAATTTTAAGGGGCAAGAGAAGTTTAGAATCTCTACAGAGATCTTACAAAACCATGTCCTGAACTAGATATGTTGCTCAGTAGTAGAGCACTTGCCTGGCATGTACAAAGCCCTGGATGGTCTGTCTCTAGCACCACAGGAAAAAAAAAAAAACGAAAAAGAGAAACTTCCTAGCCAGGCATTGCGTACTTGTGTACTATAATCCCAACACTTCAGAGGCAGTAAAATAGTGTATTCAAAGTTAGCCTGGATTATATAGCAAGTTCAAGACAAGCCTGAACTATATAGCAAGACCCTGCCTTAAATAAGCCAACACACTGGTAGTTCACACCTACAATTCTAGCTACTCAGGAGGCTGAGAGCTGAGGATCATAGTTCAAAGCTAACCTGGGTAGAAAAGAGTTGGTGAGACTCATCTTCAATTAATCAGAAAAAAAGCTGGAAAAGAAACTATAATTCAAGTGGTAGAGTGTCAGCCTTGAGCGAAATGCTAAGTGACAGTGCTCAGGCCCTGAATTCACACCCCAGTACAGCTATTCATGGAACAGTCACAGAAAAGAATCCGATGTCACTAATCTGTGACCACTGTGTCCTCAACTGTCAGAGAAAGGCCAGGAAGTGAGAGGAATTAGTTCAGAAGGGAAAAATCAAAAAGTTAAGAGAAACTCACAAGGGGACTTTCTCCTCTGTAGTTAGACTAAATACCACCTTTCCTAGGACCACAACACCACTGTTCACACCAGGCTTCAGCGCACTCAACGACTGGAGCTCCAGTGCCACCTTCTGCCCAGAGGCTGACTGATAGCGTCCATCACCACAAGGGCCTAGTTGGGCTGGGTGCAAGTTTCCCAGCATGCTCTGCAGCTTTTTGGTCTTTATCTTTCCCTGCAAAGGAAACAGAAATAGGTAAAACACTTAAAACTAGGGTTCACCTAGGGAGTCCAGTCCTTCCCTCCTACCTAACCATTTCAGTGGTGTTATTCCCTACCAACAAAGCCTATTCTTTTGCCTTTAGTGCCAGCCTTGGGTTTTTAACTCAGAGCCTTGGATACTGTCCCTTGGCTTTTTCACTCAAGGATGTCACTGTATCACCTGAGCCACAGCTCCAGTTCTGGATTTTTTTTCAAGTGTTGGAAATAAGAGTCTCACAGACTTTTCTTCCCTGGGCTGGCTTTGAACTATAAAGCTCAGATCTCAGCCTCCTGAGTATCTAAGCTTATAGGAATGAGCCACCAGCACCCAGCACCTGGCACATATTCTATTTTTTTTTTAACTGAATCACTTAAGAATGAAAGTAGGTTTCAGCCCTTTATACATCTTTACCTTGCTCTCCAGAAGGCTGGTTAATCTACTTAGGAATTCCAGGAGTTGTTGCTCACGTTGATGGGGCTCTGGCCAGCCAGGGTCCAGTGCTGCAGCCTGAGAGAAGCCCTCCAGTGCCTCCCCATAATTCTCTTCATATTTATGTAACTGCACAAAAGGAACCAAAAGCTCTCAATTATATCCAAACCAGAATGGGCTCAAAATCTAGAGAAATCAAACTGCTTTCTTTCCCTGGTAGCTTCCTGTCCTACTATGAACATCCTTCATCCTGGCCAATGGATAACAGTGCCACAGAGAGAACAAAGAAGCTAATTTCTGATCTCTGAAGTAAAAGATGCATATACTGAATCACTCAACTTTTATATTTATGCTTAACTTCAGAAGTTTTTTGGTTTTTTGGTTTTTTTTGCCGGTCATGGGGCCTAAACTCTGGGCCTGAGCACTGTCCCTCAGCTCTTCAGCTCAAGGCTAGTGCTCTACCACTTGAGCCATAGTGCCACTTCCAGCTTTTTTTTTTCTGCTTATGTGGTGCTGAGGAATCGAACCCAGGGGCTCATGCATGCAAGGCAAGCACTCTACCACTGAGCTACCTTCCCAGCCCAACTTCAGAAGTTTTTGTGTGTATGTGTTTTTTTTTTACTTTGTGTCAGTACTGAGGCTTAAACTCAGGGCCTCACATTCTTGCTTGACTTTTTCACTCAAAGCTATTGTTCTACCACTTGAGCCATAGTCTCAAGGACTTTCCTGCTCAAAATAGCTTTGAACCACAATATTAAGAACTCAGCCTTCTGAGTAGCTCACTCTTTATATTGCCACCAATGCCTGGAAACATCAGAAATTTTCTAAACAATCTTCCCACTCTTTTTAAAAATTTTTTAAATTATTATTATAATATACAGAGGGGTCACAGTTATGTAAGTTAGGTACTTTTTTTTGACAATATCACCCCTTCCCTCGCTCTCTCCTAGTTTGTCCCTCACATTCCCACTTACAAGTTGTATGATTCATTTTCCAGTGAGTATCACTGCTGTATTTGTTCACCCTTTTCCCCTCCATTTCTGTGCCTCCCCTTACACCCCCAAAGACATATAAACAAACAAACAATGAAAAGGAAATAAAACAAAAATAGCAAAAAAGGAAAAAACTTTTTGTTTTCATTTCCTGGAGTTCCTTCCAATAAATATTATTCTGTATGATCAGATGCATGTAGGCATTGTGCCTTTCTGTTCCCCTCATCTTCCCATTCTTGATGTATTCCTTGGCCTCTATCCTTCCCCTCTAAGGATGCCACCAGACATTAGAATCAAACTGAGCAAACCTTTCTGAAAAGGAATATGCATAATCAGTTACCCTTCCAAACTTTGAGGATTTAGATGTCTTCTTACCGTAGCCCTATTCAGATGAAGGTCAGGATTGCTGGAAGCTTTCTTGTCAACCTTCTCCTGTAACGGGATAAAAACATCATCAGTGGACCCCACCTCACTCCTAAGAATAGATGTGCCCAACATGTCCTAGGCCTCCTCATCTCAGAAAAATATGAGGTTATTCCTTTTCAAAATGTTACGTATAGCCATGCACTGGTAGTTCACACCTGTAATCCTAGGTACTCAAGAAGCTGAGATCTGAAGATCAAGATTTGAAGCCTGCTCAGGCAGACAAATCTTATCTCTAATTGATCAGCCAAAGCCAGAAGTAGAAGTGTGGCTTAAGGGACAAAGTGCAAGACTTGAGCAAAATAAGCTAAGTAAGAACACAAGGCCCTGAGTTTAAGCCAAAGTATTGGCATGAAGAAAAAAAGAAGTTACCTAGAACCACAGTTATTCAAGAACTGCTCAGAAGGGGTATGACTCAGTCTCTGAAACCTCAGGGATGTAAAGGTGTTGCATTTGTGTAACTTTAAAATATGGCTATAACTGATTTATACAGCGTTATAAAGATATGAGAAAATACATAAAAGCATTTTGATTTTAAAAAATTAAAGTGACATTTGTGTCCAAAGCAGAAATGATTATCAGTAGAATGCCATGCCTCTTGCCAATGAGTGAAGTTCTATACACAAGTAGAATCCAGGGCCTCCAAATGCCTTCTAAACACACATAGGATGTCAAATGCTACTTCTCTGAAACACACAGAAACCCAAGATGGCATACAAATGTGCTGTGAAGAAACTCATATTTTTTGTTGTTGTTTTTTCAGATTGTATTTATTGTCTGGAACATTGAAAAAGCACAATCAACATGAATTCAAATTGCTTAAATGACCATATGTTTTAAATACAGGTTCAGGAGAAAAAAAATTAAAGAGGTAAAAACAACTATTAGGTGGGTGTCAAACACAAAATCTTACAGAGGAGTACATAATTTTACTGTTCAAAATACAAACACTGGCCATGGTATCTTACAGCCTATAATTTTAGCACCAAGAGGTTCACAAATCAAGATTACATCTCAAAACAACAAAATAGAAAGGAAAGGGGGAAGGGGAAAAGATACAATGCAATCATGCTGTCAATATAAAAACAGACTAAGGGGTTGGGAATGTGGCTTAGTGATAGTGTTTGCCTAGCATGCATGAAGCCCTGGGTTTGATTCCTCAATACTACATAAACAGAAAAAGCCAGAAGTAGCGCTTGCCTCAAGCGGTAGAATGCTAGCTAGTCTTGAGCAAAAGAAGCTCAGGGACAGTGCCCAGGCCCCGAGTTCAAGCCCTAAGAATTGGCAAAAAAAGAAAAAGAAAAACAGACTAGAAAACAAAGCAAGCATGAGCTCCAGTGAATTAACTCCTAAGAAATGCTGCAGAAAGCCAGGTAACAGTGGCTCACGTCTGTAATCCTAACTACTCAGGAGGCTGAGATCTGAAGTTCACAGTACAAAGCCAGCCCTGGCAGAAAAATCTGTGAGAATCTTATCTCCAATAAACCACCAGAAAATGGGCACTGTGGCTCAAGTGGTAGAGCTGAAGAGCTCAAGGACAGCACCCAGGCCCAGAGTTCCAGCCCCATGACTGACCGAAAAAAAAAAAAGAAATGCTTCAGAATAAAATAGGTACGGTTTTATCTTTTAGCCCATGGAGAAATCCAGAGTGACATTACCTAGTAGTTAATTGAAGGACAGCACTTAATTTACACCTTAACTCTTAGTTTTCATTAAAATAAGTATACACAAATTTTTTAGAATTTTTTTCTACTGTATATAATAATGGGTTTCATTATGACATTTTCATATATGTATAAAATGTAGTTCAATACTTAATCCCTCGTCACTCTCTCTTCTCTTTCTCCCTCCTGTTGGTCCACACCCAAACAGTCACATAATAAGCATATTTTAATAGGCTTTTTCCCTATTAATAAAGATGAACCTGTTGATCTAAGCTCTGAGATTTGGTTTTATGTGCGTGTGAGAAATTTAGACTATTCAAGGAGTTATCTGGCACCAATAACCAATAGTTAAGTTCAAGTTATAAAAAGAATGAAATCACCTCTGCAGATGCTCATGGGATGCTAAAATACTGCCCATACTGCTTGCTAAAGGACCACAAGAAAGGCTAAACCATGTTCTTGCTTTTGTTGCTGTTTCTATTTATTGCACCTGGGTATCCAAAGTACTTACTGCTTGGGCATAGGCACTGAGGGCTTGCTGGGAGATCTTAGGGCTCTGGCCAGTATTGAAATAAAGAGAAAGGTATGCATTCCCCAGAATATCTGAAAGAGAAACAGTGGTAGATCCATCATCTCAGAGCCCAAGTCCAAGATATGATCTACTTTTGCAACCTTTGTATGTCTATTTCAAAGACCCCTCATTTAAGCCCTATTATAACCCAAGTTCAGAACCTACTGCCTCCACCTTCCTCATGCTGGGAGTAAACTCAGGATAGAATGATTACACACACTACAATCCCATCATATGGGAGACTTGTTCAAAGCCAGTATGATCTTATCTCAAAAATTTAAAAAGAAGAGCCAAGCATCAGTGGCTCACTCTTATAATCCTAGCTACTCAAGAGACTGAGATCTTAGGATTGTAGTTCAAAGCCAACCCAGGCAAGAGAGTCCATGAGACACTTGTCTCCAAGTAACAAACCAAAAAATGCCAGAAGTAGAGCTCTAGCTCAAGTGGTAGAACATTAGCCTTGAGCAAAAGAACTCAGCAACAGCACCCAGGTCTGAGTTCAAGCCCCAGGACTGGCACAAAAATTAATAAGAATGAAAAGAAAGAGAAATAAAGGAAGAAAAGAAAAAAAAAAAGGTTCCATATCTGACTCAAACCAGAGATGACATGCTATTTGGTATACCCAAAATTCTACTGGGATAGGGAAATAAATTGTCCTCATGGAATTTGGGGAGATGGACACCCCTTTTCCCCCTAGGATATACTTGATCTGACTTTACTGAAAGCCCTGCTCACTTATATGAAAACCAAAGTCTCTTCTCTTGGATCAACAGATCCAGGAGCTTCAATAGAGGATCATTAAAATACCTTTCCACTTCTTTTAAACAAAGATGCCCTCAGAATCAGACTCAATAGATGGGCTTCACCCAGTTCTCATAGATAGCCATGACTGAGAGTCACTATTCTAGAAAGTTATTGAAGGGCTTTGGGGAGCACTCACACCAGGATCGGCCATCAAGGACATCCATCTGCACAGCTAGCTTGGCCTGCCGAACACTGTCCATGACATGGCGAGAATGTTCATCTAAAGATCCAGGTCGTAGTTGGCGAAGAACCATTGACAGGTTCTGCAAGGAGACTTTATTCTTGCACTGTAAATAGAAAAAATACATACTCAACCTTCCTAATTCTACCTTTCTCTTCCAAATCAATTCTATCTCCATTTTTCTCTCATTTTTCATTACAATTCTTGTGGCCATCTGCATCTAAAATGCTTGCATCTACCCCAAACCTGTCCCATCTTCTTTTTCCTTTATGGGTCCCTCATATCTTATTTTCTCATCCACCCTGTCTCCCTTCTGATTTTCTTCTCCAATTTCAGATTCTGTTCTGATCTTTCATTCTTGTCCTAAGAAAGTTCAAAGAACCAAAGGAATCCTTCCCACTGGGATGGTTCATGGGGATAGTGCATGGCTCACATGAGTGAGGGCTCCAGAGAAGCAAGTGTGGGCTGCAGCGACATCCCCTTTCTTCCAGTACACCTCACCCAGCTGGTTCCACGCTTCCACCAGTGCAGGTTCCAGCTTCACAGCCTTTGACAGAAGCTCCTCAGCCTTAGGGCTATAATCATGAATCACATTCAGTGCCTTCCCGGTTAGCATTAAAGCCTGTGCTTTGCCCCGGACAGAACCTAGGAGAAAGGGAAGAAGCACCAAAATTTATTTATTTTTTTATTTTTTATTTTTTTGTCAGTCATGGGCCTTGAACTCTGGGCCTTAGCGCTGTCCCTCATCTCTTCAGCTCAAGGCTAGCGCCTTACCAAAGCAACAAAATTTAAAAACCCAGAAATGTAAAAGAGCAGGGCTGCATGCCAGTTAAAAGGATGGAACATAAGAAAAATCTCAGCAACAAACCATTTACTAAAAGCCTACTATGTTGAGAATATGTTAGGTAATTGGGTAAAAAAAAAAATACTATTGTTCCTTAAGAAGGCTAACAACATGGTAAAGGCAGAACATAAAAAAGGAAAATAAAAATAAAAATGAAAACAAGTATATGGCATACACATAGGGAATTAAATTTTAGAAGTTAAGAAAAGACAAGGCCCTCCAAAAGCCAGTACTGTTGGCTCATACCAGTAATCCTAGCTACTCAGAAGGATGAGATCTGAGGATGGAAGTTCAAAGCTAGTTCAAGCAGAAAAGTCCATGAAATTCTTATCTCTAATTAACGACCAAAAAGCAGGAAGTGAAGGTGTTAGCGAACTGAGTCCCTTCCCATAGCTTAGTCAACTCCTTCTCTTCTCTACAGCTTAGCATGCTCCCTTCCTAGGCAACACTAGGCCTATGCAGTAAAGGCAGTAAATAATCAATTTCCAACCCCCTTTACCTTGGGATGGCACTTCTCTGGATGGCAGCCATAAATCCTAATCCACCATGATGAAGCCTCTGGCCCACATGTTCACACCAGGGTCTCTGCCTCTTACCCCTTCCGGACCATCCTAAACCCCCTAGGTTATATAGGCCGCCCCAGACAATAGCCAGTGCTTCTCACTTCTCCCTTTTGAGAAGGAGTCTTGTCGGCCCACTTTCCGGGCAATAAACCTTTCTTTGTTCTCTGTACCTGGATGTCTGTGTGGTTCTCTGCCAAAGTCTACTTAATCTTAATTTTGCTAACAGAAGGTATGCCTCAAGTGGTAGAGCACCAGCCTTGAACAAAAGAAGGAGAAAGGAAGAGGAAGAAGAGAAGGAGGAAGAAGAGGAGGGGATGAGGGGAGGAGGAGGAGGAGGAGGAAGAAGAAGAAGAAGAAGAGGAGGAGGAGGAGGAGGAGGAGGAAGAAAGCATGAGTAAAAGGCTCTGAGTTTAAGCCCCAGTACCAGCATTAAAAAATCCAAACTAGAGCCGGGTGCCAGTGGCTCACATCTGTAATCCTAGCTACTCAGGAGGCTGAGATCTGAGGATCATGGCTCAAAGCCAGCCAAAGCAGTAAAGTCCATGATACTCTAACCTCCAATAAACCACCAGAAAACCAGAAGTGGCGCTGTGGCTCAAGTGGTAGAGCACTAGACTTGAGCTGAAGAGCTGAGAGACAGGGCCCAGGCCCAGAATTCAAGCCCCACGACCAACCAAAAAAAAACAAAAAAATCCAGACTAGAATATAAATACAAACCAAAAGGCAGAAATGTGTGGCACATGCATGGGAGAATGGAGAATGGGTAATCCACTCTCCCATGGATTGAAATCAAATTACTCAATAAACAAGAAATGAGGATTGAGAAACAAAGAATTAAACTAGGCCTCCTGGTGCACCTTTGTAATCCCAGTACTTCAGAGGTAGAAACAAGTGGATCATAAATTGGAGGTCAGCCTGGGCTACACAGCAAAACTCTGTCCCAAAACTTAAAAAAATACTTTGTTTTAAATGGAGATTTGATTATTGGTTAAGGAGTTAGACATTGGCTAGTCAACCTTAAAAATTCCTTGCAAAAGCTGAGCGCTGGTGGCTCATGTCTGTAATCCTAGCTACTCAGGAGGCTGAGATCTGAGGATCGCGGTTCAAAGCCAGCCCGGGCAGGAGAGACCCTGAGACTCCTATCTCCAATAAACCACCAGAAAACCGGAAGTGGCGCTGTAGCTCAAGTGGTAGAGTGCTGGCCTTGAGCTGAAGAGCTGAGGGACAGCGCCCAGGCCCAGAGTTCAAGCCCCACGACCGACAAAAAAAAAAAAAAAAAGTGTCAATGGACTTTCCTGCCTGGGCTGGCTTTGAACCATGATCTTCAGATCATGAGTAGCTAGGACAAGTTTGCTTTGTTTTATAGTATCTGTACTCCTTGTATTTTTCAAGAGCTATTTTGTAAACAGATGATGTATTTCTCCATTGAAAACACAATAAAAAATAAAAAGCACAATCTTAAAAAAAAAAAGATTATGAGATCTAAGGATCACCAGCATAGGCAGGAAAATCTATGAGACCTTTAGCTTTAATTAATCATACTAAAAGCTAGGAGAACAGCTGTTGTTCCTGTGGTAGAGCACTAGCCCTACAGTAAAAACACTCAGGAACAGCATCAAGGCCCTAAGGTTCAAGACCTAGAACAGGCACACACACACACACAAAAAGTTTATAATACTTGCAGCAGCAAGCATATTCTATTTCATATCATTTGCTACAATCAAGCTTTAGTAAAAGGAGTGAAAGAATATTCTGCATAGGAGCCCTGTTGGAAGCTGACAGTAAAGCTTTAAGGTCATCTTGACCCCTGTGCTAGCTTGAAGGCACATACAAGGAACTGGCTTACTTAAAAAACACCAGGTGCCCAGGATTGCTTTGCTATGTCTGCAGAATTTGTTTTACTTTCTACCAGTTGACCTTGTCTTGTTTTTACTGTACTCTGTTTTTACTGAAATTTTCCTTGTTTTTCTGGACTATTGTAACCTTATGTTACCTCTTGACTTTTAATAGTATATATATTAGGGAAAGTTAAAAATAAACGGTGCTGCAGTCTTGAGCTGCAGACCTCCCAACCCCATCCTTTGTCTTAGTTTCTTTTTCCTCATCCTCGCCCCCCTAAATCAGGATTCCCTTTCGTTGCCGGCAGGCTCTGGCAGAGCCCTAGAGCAACCACAAACAAAGAGAAGAAACTATCATATCAACTAAGGGCAAAGGGCTGCATACCCAGTATTTGTTCCATCTGCTGCACGGTCTTCTCCATCTCCTCCCGAATATCCTGATGCCTTCGCACAGCATCCTCAACACTGTGTGTCTCAAAATAGCAATCTCGAAATGAATAGAGCTGATCTACCAGTTCCTAGAAAGTAGAAGAGTGGTATCATTAAGTGAAGAGCATGTGACAGGAAACAATGCTCATTAGCCATACTCATTCTTGGCCTAGAAATACTGGTTCTCTTACAAGCAGATGGAAAAGTCTACAAATGCCACAGAAGAAAGCAACCAGTGTCCCAGACTATTCTCATGGCACCAAGCTATCTTCCACACCAGTCTCTGAATACAACAATTCTTCTTCCCAGCTCCAACAGGGCTTACTATCTCACTAAGCATTTTACATACTATCTTTAGGAGAAGGGTAACACTTTACAACTGGAGAAAATCCAAGTTAACAAGATCATTATCTGGTTCTAGTCACAGAAAGAACAAAACTTTGAAATTTATCCCAAAAACTGGACTTCCTAAGCCCAGTGGCAGGACAAGAAGGCAAGAAGCTCTAGGTCTGATCTCCACCATAGACAAAAACCTGAAACCAAAAAAAAAAAAAAAGGGTTTCCTGGGCTGGAGGGTGGTCTCAAATGGTGGAGTGTTTGCCTAGCTAGTGCAGAATACTGAGTTCAAATCCTAGTGTCACAAAAGACGATGGACTTCTAACAAGAATAAACTTGTCCACAAGTGTGAGAAAGGCACTGCTTTCCACCATAAACAGATCAACTTAATATTGGCAATGGTGTTTTGTTAAGTCTTCTTTTGGCTCTCTTACATTATTTTCATGTCTATTCTCTTTCCTCTTTCAAATGTTTTGAGTTTGCTGTAATACAAAGGCAAAGGCAAAGCTTTTTAACTATTTTTTCCTGAAGCCAAATAGCAGCAGAAATATACATCCTAACCCCATCATTTTATCAACTATTTCAACAGAACAGCCTAAATCCATCCACCTATCTTTATCCACTAAGACTGTCCTGTACCAGCTCAGCTTCATTACTTGTCTAGACCATTGTTGTAGCACTTTAACAGGCTGTATACTTCCTACTCTGTCCCATGCTATTCACTGTTGTCCAAGTGCCCTGGTAAAATTGTACATTAAATCACAAAGTTTTCCAGTTGCAGAGAGAATAAAATCCAAGTCTTCACCATGGCCTCCCACAACCCACTTTACAACAAACTTCACTCTCACCACTCTTCCTCCTACAGCATCTAGCCACAGAGCCACCATTCAGCATTTCAGATCCATCAAGTTCAATCTCAGCTTGAGGCATTTAGCATGCTTTGCCCTGCTCCTGGACACTGGCTCCTAGACTTCTGCATTATTCATCATCATTCACACCTCAGCTCAAATATCAACTTCTCAGAGAGGTCCTCTAAAACACAAACACTGGCTGGGAATGTGGCTTAGCAGTAGAGTGCTTGCCTAGCATGCATGAAGCCCTGGGTTCGATTCCTCAGCAACACATAAACAGAAAAAGCCAGAAGTAACACCGTAGCTAAAGTGGTAGAGTGCTAGCCTTAAGCAAAAAGAAACTATGGAACAGTGTTCAGGCTCTGAGTTCAAGCCCCAGGACTGGCAAAAAAAAAAAAAAAAAAAAAGAAAAGAAAAAAAAAAACATGAATGGAAGAAATTTTTTTTAAATCTTTTTTCCAGCTCACACTGTTAAATCACACTCTTCACAATACTATCCTTTGAAACTATATGTATGTCTTCTTCATTGTCATCTCTACCACCAGAATAAAAGCTCCATGATGGAATGGTTTTTATTTAGTTTAATTCTGAACCACAGAACAGGGGTTGAGCCATGATTAACCCCCACTGTTTTTTAATTAGGGAAAGAGAGTCAATACTGAAGCTTGAACATAGGACTTTGTGCTGTTATTTTTTTTGTAAAGGTGATGCACAGAGGAGTTACAATTACATAAGGTAATGAGTACATTTCCTTTTGAACAGTGTTACCCGCTCCCCCATTTTCTCCTACACCCTCCTCCCACCTCAAAGTTCATTTCCAACATAGTGTCTTGTGAGTACTGCTGTTGCATTGGTTCACCCTTTGTCCTTTGTCTCACCATTTCTGTGATTCCCCTGCCCATCCCCAAATCAGATAAACGTATAAACAATACAAAGGGTACCAAAATAAAAAAGTGACAAGAGGGGGTAAACAAACCCAGATGCCCCTCCGTGAATGAGGGATCAAGAAATGTGGCATAACTCTGGAAAGTAGTATGGAGGTGCCTCAAAAGAGACTAAACATAGAGCTCACCTACAACCCAGCAATCCCACTCCTGGGCATTTACCCAAATGACCACAAACAAGGCCTTACTAAAGCTCCAGCACAATCATGTTCACTGAAGCATTATTTACCATACCTAAGATATGAAACCAACCCAGATGCTCCTCAGTAGATGAATGGCTCAAGAAGATGTGGCATAAGCCGGGCACTGGTGGCTCACGCCTGTAATCCTAGCTACTCAGGAGGCTGAGATCTGAGAATCACGGTTCAAAGCCAGCCCGGGCAGGAGAGACCGTGAGACTCCTATCTCCAATAAACCACCAGAAAACCGGAAGTGGCGCTGTAGCTCAAGTGGTAGAGCGCTTGCCTTGAGCTGAAGAGCTGAGCGCCCAGACCCAGAGTTCAAGCCCCACGACCGACCAAAAAAAAGAAGATGTGGCATATATACACAATGGAGTTCTATACTTCCACTAGGAAAAATGACATTGCCCCATTCATAAAGAAATGGAAAGACCTAGAAAAATATATACTAAGCAAAGTAAGTCAGGTCCAAAGAAAAGTAGTTTACATGCTTTCCCTCATTTGTAATAACTAGAATATGTCTATGATATTCTTAAAAGGGAATCACAATAGCCCAATTGCTAAGTGCATGGGACCATATATAATGAAGAATATCAAAATCAACTCCAAGTATGGGAAACAAGATGTTCTTATTATGTCATGTATGCAGTTATTTATATTTTTTGTTTTAGTTTTCTGTACCCTTTGTCTTGTATATAAGTTTATCTGATCCATGAAAGGGAAAGGTAATCACAGAAACAGCAGGACAAAAGATGAACTAATGCAACAATAGTACTCACTAGACACTGTTGGGAATGAACTTTACAACTTGCAGGGAGGGGAGTAGGGAAGAGTAAGTGGGAGAGAATGAGGGAGGGGATAACAGCATTTAAAAAGATATGTACTCATTACCTTACTTATATAACTATAAACCCCCTAGTTTATCACTTTTACAATAAAGATATATGTTTTTAAAAAGAAAATAATGTAACAGGGGCTGGGAAGGTGGCTCAGTGGTAGAGCGCTCGCCTTGCATGCCAGAGGCTCTGGGTTCGATTCCCCAGCACCACATAAGCAAAAAGAAAAAAAGCCAGAAGTGGCGCTGTGGCTCAAGTGGTAGAGCGCTAGCCTTGAGCTGAAGAGCTGAGGGACAGCGCCCAGGCCCAGAGTTCAGGCCCCACGACCGGACCCAAAAAAAAAAAAATAATAATAATGTAACAAAATCCACTAAAATTTCATAAATGAAAGGATTAGGAGAAAAGGAGTTAGGAAAGAATACTATATTTGGGGTTTTGGGGGGAGGAGGGGATTGTCTTTCTTTTTTATTTTTTTTATTATCTTTAAGTAGTTGTACAAAGAAGTCTCATCCTACAAAACAGTATATGAGTACAAAGTTTCTGACAACGTTGTCACCCATCTCTCTTAACCCATCCCTTCTCTCACTTTTTTAGGAAAGAATAATATGTTCTTAAGTTGATCAAAGTGCACCTTGTTCACATACATAATTATAACAAAGAAATCCCTTTGTAAAATTAATTTTTCCTAATAATAAAAAATGAAAACAGTGATTCCAATTTAAAAAAAAAAAAGTGGTATATATACACAATGGAATTCTATGCTTCCATCAGGAAGAATGACACCACCTATTTGTAAGGAAATGGAAAGATCTGGAAAGTGAAGTAAGCCAGACCCTTGTACTCCTTTTGTTTTTTGTTTTTTTGGTGTGGTCATGGGGCCTGAACTCTGGGCCTGGACCCTGTCCCTCAGCTCTTCAGCTCAAGGCTAGTGCTCTACCACTTGAGCCACAGCGCCACTTCCAGTTTTTTCTTTTTTGCTTATGTGGTGCTGATGAATCGAACCCACAGCCTCATGCATGCAAGGCAAGCTCTACCACTGAGCCACCTTCCCAGCCCTCCTTCCCCGCCCTACTCATAATTAGGTTTTTTTGCTCAAGGCTGGTGTGCTACCATTGAGCCATATCTTTATTTCTGGCTTTTTGCTGCATAATTGGAGATAAATGTCTCACAGACTTTTCTGCCTAGGCTGTCTTCAACTATAATCCTCAGATCTCAGCTTCCAGAATAGCTAGAATTACAAGTGTGAATCACTGGCACCTGGCCATGGTTGAGTCTTAGTAAATATTCTTATTAGTATGTTACCCCTGACTCTAGAAAATACATCTGTGTCTATTTTAAAATCCTACCCTAAATAAAGAAAACAGACCAGCACCTGTTGCAGAGTGCTTTTCAAATTGTCATGTGTATGTTACGTCTAGGACACAGACTATAGAGGTGCTGGTTTTAGTGGTTTAGCAAAACTCAAAAGTTTTGTAGTTTTTAAAAAATCACCCACATGTCTTTAATATAAATGGTCTGTGAAACACATTTTTGAGAAAAGCACCAGATGTCTTTAATACAAATGGTCTGGAAGTGGTGCTGTGGCTCAAGCGGTAGAGCGAGTGCTTGCCTTGAGCTGAAGAGCACAAGGACAGTGCCCAGGCCCAAAGTTCAAGCCCCACGACCGACCAAAAAAAAAAAAAAAGAAAAGAAAAGAAATGGTCTGTGAAACACATTTTTGAGAAGCAGCCTTTTATAATTGGCTTCTACCTTAAAATATGTGTAACAATGAAATGAAAGTTTACTGCCATTTCCAGGAAAAGCAGCAACATCACTATCCAATCCTTTTCCACGTCTGTATTTCAATTTCATTGCTCCATTTTCCCACCTATTTTCAAGATACCTACAGTATTCTCTTCCACATCACAGGCATCTACCATTTAAAAAAAAAAAAAAACTGTTCTCAGCAAAAATTGAACACAATTTCCTTTTGTCTTCCAATCACTATGACTGAAAATTAGAACTTGAAGAGAGTATAATGGCTTGTTTTAGTTGTTAAAGCAAACAGGCAAAAAATTGCTTGGTCTTACTGTTGGGTCAGGTTTTTTTAGGATTTTTTTTTTTTTTGCTGAACAATTCTCTCTCATAACAATATCAATATACAGGTGGTTAAAATTCAGAGATACATGTAAAAATAGGAAGCAAAAAATCATAATCATGGGCTAGAGGCATGGATCAAATGGTCAAGCGACAATTGTGAGTGGAAAATGCCAAGTGAGAGCAAGAGGCCTTGAGTTCAAGGACCAGTACCCACACACAAAAAATTAAAATTAATAATCACTTCAAACAGCTTCAAGGATGACCCGCTTAACAAATACCTCTTCAGACTTTTGTACACATGCATATGTGTACCTAAGAATTTGAGTCAGTCACGCTAGATGGTAAAATGAAGTTAACCCAAGCCAACCCAAAACAAGACCACACTCTAAAAGTGCCATTCTTTTTACCTTTTCAAAGAACAAAGAAAATCTCAGTTTAAACTGTGTTGCAAGTGCTTAAGTTATAAGCAGATCACAGTTCCAATGTTTAAATTCCAAGATGTCTCAGATCACAAATGTTAATTTTCTGACATCAAAGGAAAATCTTGGGTCATTAAAAGAAAGATAATGAGTAGGCAACTCCTCCCTACCAGGTGCAATGGTCACAAATAGGGGCACCGTGAAGTGTGCTAGGTGGTGTCTGCACCCCTCTCCATGGGTCCCCAAACTGTGGTACTCAAAAAACCCCAAACCACTAACGTGTAAGGGAAGCAACCATTATTGTTGCTCATCTCAACGCAGAAAGATATTAAGGAAACGGCCGCTGACGGGATAAAAACGTGATAATAATTACAGCAGATCTGCCATTCATACACAGGTATGTAGGATCTTTGTTTTGGAGAAATCCAGGTTGGAGTTGCGGGGGGGGGGGGGGGGGGGGGGGCGGGACTTCATGAGAATACACAGGAATAGTTTGGAGCAACAAATCCTCTTCGGCACAAGGCTAAAACTGAGCGCAGCACTGCCAAGAGCAGCACCAGGCCCCCACCCGCTGGCCGCGCCCTAGCCCACCGGGAAGCGGCAGCGGCTGCTCCCCCCGAGTTGTTATAGTAACCGCACCGACACGGGCCGCGCCGGGGTGCGCCACGGAATTCGCAGGTACTGCCTAAGCTTGACCCCCTGCTCCCTCCGGAGACACAAAGTGCATATGGAATCTAACTTGTGGCCTCACCTGCAATTTCTGCAAAAGGTGCTTAGCCTCTTCCTCATCAGCCATCATTCCCCCATCAACAGGGCTTCTCCGCCCCCAACTTTAAAACCACAGAGACTCAGACCCGAGGCCACCACAGAGCCGCAGCGACATCTAAGGCCGCGGAGGCTTAACTGCAACACCTGAAAGCTGTAGCTACACAGCTCAGACATCTCTGCAGGGAGCGGGGGAGCAGAGTGGACAGGAATGAGGTTTCAGCTGAGGGTCTGGCTTGTTAAGCGGGCGTTATACAGCTTGGAGTATTGATTTCATAACTTTATATTCTCGAAGTCAAGTGTCTTCATATTATGATTACATGTATATGCTTGATGAGTGTTTGCCTGTGATGTTTGACATTTTGAAGGGTCTATAGATGATTTTGTCTATGCAGAATTTCTGTATGAATATATTTTATCACTTTGAATGCACTATCTTTATATAGTATGCTTGGGGTGATGATAATATAATTGATTAGTATGTCCTGAGTTCAAGCCCCAGTACTGACACACAATTAAAACAAAAACATTTTAATTTTTAAAAATCAGGGGCTGAGAAGGTGGCTCAGTGGTACACTGCTTGCCTTGCATGCATGAGGCCTTGGGTTCGATTCCTCAGCACCACATAAGCAGAAAAAAGCTGGAAATGGTCCTGTGGCTCAAGTGGTAGAGTGCTCACCCTGAGCTGAAGAGCTGAGGGACAGCACCCAGGCCCAGAGTTCAGGCCTCACGACAGGAAAAAAAAAAAATCTGACTGGAAAGTGACACAAACACTGGAAATAGTAACTGTTTTCAAAGAATGGAACTGGGTGGCTAGGTGAGTAGAATTTCACCCTTTTTTGTACCATATATATATATACATACATATATATATGTATATATATATCTCATATATAATATACATTATAATCTCATACAGTATTTAAATGTACAAAGTACCATTGTAATACTAACCATTTCTGTTTAAGATTTAATCATTGTGTACATGTATTTTAACCTGTGAGCCTAAAAAAGCAAAATGATCAAGGCAGTAATCAAAAATGTACAAAAACCACTTCCTCAAAACTACTCAGCAAAACTGAAAACAGAACAGGGGCCTGTGGCTCACAACAGTAATCCTAGTACTCAGAAGGCTTTTATTTATTTATTTATTTTTATTTATTGTCAGTTGTGGGGCTTGAACTCTGGAGGGGCACTGTCCCTGAGCTCTTCAGCTCAAGGCTGAAGAGAGCCACAGAGCCACTTCCAGTTTTCTGGTGGTTAATTGGAGATAAGAATCTCACAGGCTTTCCTGCACAAGCTGGCTTTGAACCATGATCCTCAGATCTCAGACTCTTGAGTAGCTAGGATTACAAGCATGAGCTACTGGTGCCCAGCCAGAAGGCTTAAATTTGAGGACCAAGGTTCAAAGACAGGCAGAGCAGAAAAGTCTCCAAAACAGTATCTCCAATTAACCAGCTGATCTGAAGATGTGACTCAAGTGGTAGAGAGCAGTCTTAAGTGAAAACACTAAGCAAGAGTGCCAGACCCTCAAATAAGAATACACAGGAAAGAATTCTTTGTACTATCATCTGTAAAATCTCATTTAAGCTGTGCAATGGGGATGGATTTTTCCTTTTAACTATGGAGTACAGAAAAGCTAATTGAAGAAATTTTACACTGTAGTAATAAAACTAAATCTCTTGTCAACACAAGTTTCTACAATAATGCATTCCTAAATAAATCCATAAGAGACCAAGACCACTAGTGATAAAAAAATTTGCAACTTTTATTTTAAAGCAATGACAAAAACTTCAGAACTACCAATGTAAATTATTTTTAACATTCTGTCATTCACTGGCATGAATCTACCGCCAAACAAGTTAATATAAATGCAAATACATAAACATATAAAATGCCCACAACTAAACAGTAATCCAATCAACCAGCCATCATTTTATAAGGCCAAAATCTTCACATAAATGTACCGGCAAACACAGCAATGTATCAATGAACACACATATACATATGAGAATAAATACCAGAATCAGCCAAAGACATGTAGACAGAACAGTGGTGCTAATACACATATGCATTAACACACAGATTGGCCAAAACCTGCCAAGCTGAAACAGTGATTTACTAGGACATACAATGTTGTGACCTTTTTACCAGTGATGAAAATTGAATTCAACTAGTAAATAAAACAGATTAATGGAATGCTGCTCATGTGTTAAAGACAAGGCAATGAGATACTACAGCCATCCATCCCACTAACAATGAGTTTCTTGAATCTGAAATACAACGTCAACCTCACAGACTTAATAGCATAAGGAAGTGGGTTACTTCTATTTAAAATAAAGATTATAATGAAATTACAGAAAGCAGAGAAACACTGTGTAAAGCAAGTTAAATTCTTTTCACTTTGAAGGCCCTGCTAGAGATTTGCTGCTGCTCTGACTCATGACTGTGAGATGCAAAACTAAAAAAGCTGTTACTGGGTTCAGGTGCTGTGGGAGAACCCACAAAAAATGGTCTGAATTGAAAATCTTCATCTCCACCACCCCGATTTCGAATTGGTGTATTGTCCAAAGGAAACTTGGAGTTGTTCCCTAGAGAGAAAAAATTAGGGAAGGGTATAATCATTTATTTCCTCATAGATCTTTAGGAACAAATATTACAACCATAACATTCAATAAAATGCTTACATAATTCAATTATTATGAGATGAATAAACTACAGACCTAACTACTAGGTGAAAACTACATCCCTCCCCTTAACCATAGAATATACTATACCTGATTTCCTGAGTTTCAAAGATAGATATGACCTTATCACAGAAAATAATTTAACACACTGATATGTCTATAGTAGAGCTAGAATTTGATAGCACAATTCTGTTCATTTATTAACTAGGTTTTTTGGAATTTTGGTTTTCCTTTTTCTTTCAATTTTGTTATTATTATAGAGGCAATGTACAGAGGAAGTACAGAAATATAAGTCAGAAAATGAGTAAATTTCTATTTGGACAATGTCACCCCTTCCCTAATTTGTTTTTTGTTTTGTTGTGCAGGGTTTTTGGTCAGCTATGAAACTTGAACTCAGGGCCTGGGCACTGTCCCTGATATATCTTTTGCTCAAGGTTAGTGATCTACCACTTTAAGCTATAGCTTTACTTCCAGATTTTTTGGTAGTTAACTGGAGATAAAAGTCCACCAACTTTGTTGCCCAAGTTGGCTTTGAACCTTGTTCTTAAGATCTCAGTCTCCTGAGTAGCTATGATTACAGACATAAGCCACCAGCACCTGGCTGTTAGCTACTTAATCTATTTTAAAGGAATTAATTTTTTGTCCTAACTTTTACAAAAAAATTTAAAATACTACTAAATACATTCTAGGAAATAAGACACCTTTAAAATGTTGACATATAACAAAAACCAGTATTTCTCAATATAGGCTTAAGAAAAATCACAATGGATCTGATTAAACATTTAGCTACTTCTACTAAACCATTCCATGGCTTTTACAGATAATAAAGTCAGGCAAGTGTCTCACACCTCTAAGGTTTAAAATATGGTTTAAAAGATAAGAGTGCCCTGAAGTAGCAAGCTCTGAGGTTCAAACCCGGCTACTGGCCAAAAAAAGGTAACAAAAGGAAAGTGACTCCATCAAATGTGCTAAAGGTGAAAGTCTGTGACACTCTTATTGAAAGTAGAGCTGTGGCTCAAATGGTAGAGCACTAACCTTGAGCAAAAGCAGCTCAGGGACAGTGCCCAGGCTCTGAATTCAAGACCCAGACCTGCACCCAAAAAAAAAAAAAAAATGGTTAAGAGAATAAGCTGCATGATCTTGACCAAGTCACACAGCTTTCTGTACCTCAGATTTTTTATTTGCCCACAGAGATCTTTGCAGATTACACGTAAACATGTGAAACAACAGTGCTGAGAATGTAATAAAGAATCTTAAAAATGGCAGCTAAGTATTTATTCTGTAACTAAATCGATTTTAAAGTACAATTTTTAAAAACTGCTCAAAATAATTTACATCTGCGGGGCTGGGAAAGTGGCTCAGTGGTAGAGTGCTTGCCTTGCATGCATGAGGCCCTCGATTCGATTCCCCAGCACCACATAAGCAGAAAAAGCCAGAAGTGGGGCTGAGGCTCAAGTGGTAGGGCCCTGGTCTACAGCTGAAGAGCTGGGGGACAGCACCCAGGCCCAGAGTTCAGGCCCCACAACCGACAAAAAATAAATAAATAAAAATAATTTATATCTGCCAGGCATCGGTGGCTCATGCCTGTAATCCTAGCTACTAAGGAAGCTGAGATCTGAGGATCACAGTTCAAAGCCAGGCTGGGCAGGAAAGTCCATGAGACTCTTAAACCACCAGAAAACTGGAAGTGATACTGTGGCTCAAGTGGTAGAGTGCTAGCCTTGAGCTGAAGAGCTGAAGGACAGTGTCCAGACCCAGAGTTTAAGCCCCACAACCAACAAAATAATAATAATAATAATAATAATTTCTATGTAATCAAATATACTAATAAAAGCAATGCTGCACTGCTGAAGACATGGATAAAAAATACATGAGCCTACCATCAGTGGAGTCAACACTGACTACTTTGAACTATGTAAGGTTCACTGTAAACACTCACGGATTTAAACAACCTACTCTTGCCAGAAGTGGTGCTGTGGCTCAAGTGGTAGAATAGTAGTCGAGCACAGAGAGGCTCAGGGACAAAGCCTGGGCCCTGAATTCAAGCCCCAGGACCAGCAAAAAATAATAAAAATAAAAACGGTCTTCTCACCTTACTTCATTGTTGGTGGGAATGTAAACTTGTTCAACCACTTTGGAAAGCAGTATGGAGGTTCCTCAAAAGACTTCACATAGAACTCCCCTATGACCCAGCAATCCCACTTTTGGGCATTTACCCTAATGTTTACAAACAAGACCACACTAAAGCTACCAGCACAACTATGTTTATTGCAGCATTATTTACCATAGCTAAGATATGGAACCAACCCAGATGCCCCTCAGTAGATGAATGGATCAAGAAAATGTGGTATATATACACAATGGAATTCTA